AAAAAAATCAGAAAAGGGAGCAAATGAGCAAGCACCCACCTTTTCACCTTGAAAAAAAAAAAAAGACAAGGATAATTAACTGAAGTGAAAATCAGTTCCTTCTATGAGCAGCATCATTCCAAAAGTTCTTAAGACTTCTTTGTGATGTAAGTTACTGAACTTGTACATCACGATGGAGAAGTGGAGACAGTGGTTTACCTTAAAGCACCTTGCAGAGATGATGTCCAGTATAGCACAACCTTCAATAAGAAAAACACCTTTTTGCCTCACAGGCAAGCTTCTGTGAATCCATTTCAAGATCTGGCCTGATACCAGCTTAATGAGGTTCTATAATTTATCAGATTTTCTGTTTAAAATTTGGTGTGCACTGTCTGTGCCTAATGCACCACTGCACCACAATTTTTATTTTTTTTTTTACAGTGAAGAGAGTCCAAAAATATAAAACAGTGATTCCAGTAAGAGATGACACTGACGTTCTTTCAAACTGAATTTTTATAGAGATAAGGTTTAAGAACATGCACACAGACGTAAGTCCTGGAAATGTTACAGTGTGTTGTGTATTTCCTGGCATTTTAATGATTCACTTGTGTTAAAACAGCTCTTTAATTAACCTGCAACAATTAATAAGGAAACATTAATAAGGAAATTTAATTAACCTGCAACAATAAGGAAATAGTATAGAAAAAGTTTGTCTAAATGAGGCATTTACTCGACAGGGATTAAGTCTAAATCATTATACCCAAGTGTGTAAAAACTCAAGTTCAAATCTCCACCCTCTTTTTCGTAGCTCCCAGTTGGGATGTGAACTAGTTTTCATTTCAATAACTGGACTACAGTGCAACATTCTATCACTATACTATTTGCAAAGGATGAAGCTAAGCGTTGGTTGCTAACTTTGCTTTCAACCTACCTTTTTTGGTTTATTTTGCTTCTTGATGGCCAGTTGGGATTATATGCCAAACAGGCTGTTCTACCCAAAACAAACAAAAACCCTGCCTCTTACATGGCAGTTTAATAATCTTATATATTTGTGTGGTTAAACGATAAAGCTTCGATAACATTTAAGATTTGGTAACATTTAAGAGCTTAAACAGTGAGCTATGCTGTATCAAGTTATCTACTATATGTTAATACTTACAGATAATTCTGAGCTTCAAACAGAAATGTTAAAGAAAATAAAAGAATAATATCATAACTAAGCTTCTATTAAAATAACACTGCTTGTATCAATGAATCTGTGTCACACCATGTTCTATGAAGTGCAATCAGGCTTTGAGTAGATTCAACAAGATCCAAAATTAATACCAACTACTGGAATCCCTACTTCTCTTTCACCTTTTATCAAGTATTTTTGTTCTTAAATTGAAATCTATGTTTATCTGTATATACAGCCATGTTTGTATGTACACGTGTGTATATGTATATGCATGTACATACATATAGCATGTGTGCACATATGTGCATCTGGAGTGTATGATGCATTGAGTCAAACTCTGAATGTTTCTAAGTGAACTCTACTTCTCACTGTGAGCTGACTTTCTTCCTGTAAATGGCAGTACAGAACATGTGGCAGAGGTACAACACAGTCATCATATTATATTCTTTAAAAGAAATGTTCCCAAAGTGCTGGGGTGACAAGTTCCTTTCATTATATAGAATATTTCTCTTGTGCCACCTTTTCCAAAGACTTCCACCTGGCCGCCTCCGTTGGTCGTTCACTCATACCAAAGCCAAGCAATCCTTTTGAGAAAACTGCTAAAAATCTGTATTTCATCTCTTCAACCCTTCCCTCTCTCCCTAGTCACAAGTAATTGTTTGGACAGAAAAATAATGCCTAGGGTGGCATTTTGTGAAAAGGTCCCCAGGCTCTGCATTTACAGACACCCTGGGATAGAAGTGAGGAGCTCTCCTCATCTTTGTTGACAGTTTCCACATATGAAAATGTCAAGAGCTGAAATTGCACTAGATTCCAGTAGACTTCCACCTGGCCTCCTCCGTTGGTCGTTCTCTCATACCAAAGCCAACCAATCCTTTTAGAAAACCGCTAAAAATCTGTATTTCATCTCTTCAACCCTGCCCTCTCTCCCTAGTCACAAGTAATTGTTTGGACAGAAAAATAATGCCTAGAGTGGCATTTTGTGAAAAGGTCCCCAGGCTCTGCATTTACAGACACCCTGGGATATAAGTGAGGAGCTCTCCTCATCTTTATTGACACTTTCCACATATGAAAATGTCAGAGCTGAAATTGCACTAGATTCCAGTGCTGCATGAAGCACGTTAGTGCCAAACCTGAAGGATATATAGTTGGTGTCAAAAAATGGGAAGAACATGACAACACAATCAAGTCCCTTGAATGCACCAGGATGCTGATGATTAGTCTTATTGCTCAGACAAGGCCACTGGAAGAAACCAATTACCACTTCTTATTTCAGACCTAGAAGCCTTTTGAGAAATGATACGCCGTAAAGCAGTTGGCACTGCATCAGTGAAGGATGTTAAGTAAGATCCCATAAATAACCTTCCAGAGACCACTGTGCAGTATCCTATGAGAAGTGCATTTTAAACATAAATAAAATCAAGCACTTTCTATAAGACAGAATGCTGGTACAGCAGCCTAGAAGTTATGTATGTATGGACTTCCCAGCGCTTACACTGTCAGGCACTGACCACACGACAGTGGATACCACTGGCAAGGCACTACACCTTATTACAGTAAATAAAAGTATAACAATTAAAATAAATTTAGGAAAGGTTCTGAAGCACTTAAGTCCTTTACTGAGATAATGACACGCCTATGGGGGGCCACGATTTTTATATAAATTCACCATCGAGTTCTAATCTACAAGAGAAAGGCACAACATTGAAAAGGAACAAAGCCATGCACAGACTGAAATTTAAGGGAATGACTGGACAGCTAAATTCATAGATTTACCATTATTACCACCTCATCTTCCCAGCCTCAGAAGCATTCATCCATCGCAGTAGTCCAGTAATGTGAGACCATTATTACCACCTCATCTTCCCAGCCTCTCTTTCCTCAGAAGCATTTATCCATTGCTGTAGTCCAGTAATGTGACCAGTCCCACAATCCCTCTATAATCCTCAGGAGGACACAAAGATGCTCAGAGGGGCTGGAGCCCCTCTCTTATGAAGACAGGCTGAGAGAGTTGGGGTCATTCAGTCTGGAGAAGAGAAGGCTCCAGGGAGACCTTATAAAGGCCTTCCAGTACCTCAAAGGGGCTATAGGAGATGTGGAGAAGGACTCTTGGACAGGGAACGTAGCAATAGGATGAGGGGTAATGGTTTTACATTGAAAGAGGTGAGATTTAGATATGATGTTAGGAAGAATTTCTTTCCAGTGAGGGTGGTGAGACACTGGAAGAGGTTGCCCAGAGAAGCTGTGGCTGCCCCATCCCTGGAGGGGTTCAAGGCCAGGCTGGATGGGGCTTGGAGCAACCTGGTCTGGTGGGAGGTGTCCCTGCCCAGGGCAGGGGGTTGGAACCAGATGATCTTTAAGGTCCCTTCCAAGTCTAACCATTCTATGATTCTATGATCTTTGCCACCAGACATGGACTTCTAATTCCCTGATATCTGTTGTTTAAAACACTCATCTCTAGGTTAGCAAGCCTGTTGGGAAAGATGCTCTTGCCCTGCTTTGTCAGAAAGATCTTATACCTGTCTCATGGTACCAAATCACTTAAAAGAGGACCCTGTGGTTGACTCTAACAGTCAAAGCCCTGCTTGTGACACCAGCTATGCAGACAAGTGTTGACTTGCTGGAGATGTCCTTTCCTACCTGAACCTTTTGCTTTCAGTGTCAGGATTAAGGAAAACACCACCTGGACCCCAACGCCATGTTGCTGCTCTTGTGATATTCATGTTCACCTCTTTCAGTAACATGAGAATCCATACAGGTATGTGGGAAAAGGCAGTGTTTGAATCTGGACAAAGCCTAGAGGTCTCTCCACAGCCTGCTGGCCCTCAACCCAAAAAAGGCAACAAAACCTTCCAAGACATTGTGTTGGGTTGGCAGACAGATGTTTCAAGAGGCAACACAACAGGAGGCAGTCTCCAGTCATAATGCACATTTTCCTTTTGGTGCAGACACTTGATTCAGGCCCAGCTGACTCTGACACCTCCCCAGGCTGAGCTTGTTTCTGCTCACCCATTTCCATTTCTAGATCTGTTCTCTAGCTCCAACTTGTGGTGCCAGAAATCACAAGTTTCCAGCCTTCCCCATCATGGGCATCTTTATCTGTCAGAGCAGGTAACATTCAGAGTGAGTTAGCCTGTAAGTGAAGAACCCATGCACTTTCAACATGGCTTATGAAGAGAAAAATCATCCAGCAGGAACATTAACTGCACCTCAGTATGGCCCCTCTAGAACTGTTTTTTACTGCAAGCCACATTAAAATAGATTATCTTTCTATTTTTATCCAATAAAAAAAGAAATACCATACCTCACAGTAAAATCATAGGAGCAAGAGGCCAATAAAGTTGCATGGAATGGTGAAAACTGCAAGAAAACAAAACAGAACAACTTTTAAAGTAAAAAAGTTGTGAACATATACAGACTTACAAGCAGAAAGTTACCAAAGTTCAACTATTTAAACTTTCTTGGTAGGTAGGACATCACGCTGCAACAAAGCAGACTACATCAACAGATTTCCTCACCGTGCTTCTAATTAGAAGGAATGTTCTATGGGACCCTGGTTTGGTTTGATTTCATTACAGTTTGAGAAAGTCATGTAAAAAGTGATTCAATTCTGCTTTTGGCTGACAAGCTGAGCATCATCTCATTATATAAAGCAAGTTTCAGAAAAGCTATGTGACCAGTTTATTATTTTAGGAGAGAGAAAATTTGTGCCATACTGCAGAGAAGGTAAGATATATTACTGTCATCAATCCCATGTCCTAAAACTTTGAACTTATTTACAGAAATAGGAAAATTGGAGGTAAGCTGAAAAACTGAAGGCAGTATAATGTTGCTTCATAATTTTCCCCCTCTCTTGCAGGGCATTTTATGGGACTTGCTCTTCTACAGACTCTTAAGATAGATCTAAGAACTGCAGCAATAAGGATGCAGTCAGGAGAAATTTGTTCACCTCGCCACCAGCTTTTTGGCAACCCTCAGTTTCCCACTATTTTGAAGTCTGTATTTCTCAAAAGTAAATACACAAACCATGGACAAAACTTCAGTTTGAAATGTAGGTCCCCTGCATCACAGTTCACAGGTAAAAGCACAACCATCTTCTACTAGTTTCACCACCTGTTTCATCTTTAATTCTACTATCACAGGTTACAGTGAATAACAATTTTGCATTCACTTTCTCCTTTTTATCATGAAGACAATGTGCTATGAATCCCTCAGTGGCAGAGCTGTTCTTAAAAGATCCCACTCACTTTCAAGAGTAAGAATATGACAGTCTGTATTGATTGATACTGTATCGATTCATCCGTCTTCATGGCTTTTAAATTGGAGTTACAAAATGATCTTTTTTAATAAACAAGAAAAAACAAAGTTGAAGACCATTGCTAAATGTTCTTACGCTACGATCAGAGCACGCTCATGCAAGTATTAAATTAGGAAATAATTTACAGCCACCACCAGTGGGGATAGCAAGCAAGGGTAGCAGGGATAAGGAGGAGCAAGAGCTTCTCAGCCTGTCTGGACACAAACAGGATCAGTGATATGGAACCACTTCCCGAGTCACACCCTTTTCTGACAAATTTCAACCTAAGCACAATAACTTTTAAAGTTGGTAGAAACACGTCAAGGGCATGTGAAGCAATATATTGATTCAGGATAATTTTTTTCTGCCAGTTCAGACTTTCTAGAAAATATCAATAAACACATCTGTTCCTGAAAGGCTTTAAAAGGAGCAGGTACTGTCTGACTAATCTAAAAAAAAAAAAGCTAAAAATAATAACTAACAGGAAAAAAGGTCATTGTGCATCTAGAACAAATTCCTAAATGATCTAGTAGTACACAGATCGAGTACGGTCTTCTGTAGCCTTTCATGCATAATGTCTCAAAATGTCTTTGAACATATTAACATTTTCTTTGTATACACAAAAATACACATTCACAAATTCTATACTTTGCCTTATGTGAATATTGACCCTTTGTATAGGAAGAAAAAGGCACAGCATCATTTAAAAAAAAAAAAAAAGAACGAGGAAGGGAAGGCATTTTCTCTATCTGAAATTTCCTATATAATTTAGCTGACATAAACCTCCCCACCCTCTTTCAAGCTCTCAAATGCTCCTCATGAAAATATATTAACTTTGAAGATGCCATTTACTTTGAAATCCCAGCAATCTGCTGAGGATCCAAACATTTCACAGTGCTGAACTGAACATTTCCAGGTCTTCAACACCTGTTGCCTTTTTCCTAGCTATTCGATAATATCAAATATTACTGTTTTCCAGAAAAGTTTGTGTACCAATTGAGTTGTGTTCAATGGGGACTAAAATACAACTTACTTTTACTCTTCTGATGGCGTAGGTATGACCAAGCAAGATGAACACTGGCTGCCGGATGTTCCGCAAATCCCAGCCTTTCAAGCTACAGTCGACTGCACCAGTTACCAGCAAGTTCTGACAATTTGATAAAAAACACAGATAGATCAGGACAATTTAATTATTAAATTGCAGTGATGCACGTGTTGGCTCCAAAAGTTAGATAAATCAAACAATGCAGGTGAATAAATCATAAATGAGGTCCCCAGTGTGTAAATGAAAGAGGACAGAGAAATACAAACTGTTTCTTCACTATGGACTATTCTGTCCACTATTCAAAAGAACAAGCAAAATCTCTGATCTACCTGGGCTGTCCATCTGTTGGAATAATGCTCTAGTACTGAATGTGAAGATCAAGTACTGAATGAGAGCATCAAAGCAACTAGACAGGTTTTTATAAAGAGAAGATGCATTAACGTTGCAGTAAAAACCCTGCTATTTAATGAGAGTGGTTCAATTAGGAGAAGAGTTGGAGGAACAGGTTTATACCTCGTCATATTTGCACCAGTCACAGCTCAAGATCTCAGCCTGGTGGGCAGGTATCACAAGTTTGACTCCTGGGGCTTTCACATCCCAAACTCTTAAAGTCTGGTCACCTGAAGCAAAGAGCAATTGATTCAATGTTGTTGAATCAGTTACGAGATACAGTTAATCCACCGGTACTTAGTAGACAACTGTTTCTTAGCTGTATCAAGCACAAACTGTTACATGAGGATGCTCACGCCAAATAAAGTAAGCACATTATAGACACAGAGCTCAGAGTGATGCACAAAAGGAATCAGAACTTACTATTCCTCTTGCATTAGAAAAAAAAACCCACAAAACTGAATTTTATTACTAACACTTTCATTAGTTTTTAAACTCTGATTTGATTAAAAGTCCATTTAAAAATGGACTTAGAAAACCAGAATAATGAAAAAGCTTTCTCTGCAAGCCAGCTGAGAAAAAGTAACTAGACACGTGCTTTTGGAGTTCAGAAAAGTGAACTGTATTTAAAATGCAACTTATCTCCAGATTCTTTTGATGAAAGGAGAAGTTAAGATGCATTCCCTGTCCTCATCACATGCAAAATCTGCACAGTTACTCTCAAGTATTGAAATATGGGAAGAGAAAGTCA